ATTGTGATGGTCCAACCAAAAAAGAAAGCATGGGCATGTTCAGCTTCTAAGACTAAATGGGTATAAATGAAAATGCTTCACAGAAATGTGAAAAAAAAAAAAGATGGAGGAGGAAAAAAAAAGATGGAGGAGGAAAAAAAAAGATGGATGAGGAAAAAAGTATTATAATAAAAATCCTAGACGAAAACTCAAAATTTTTTTAATTTATTACAAACTTAATTAAAAGTTGATGTTAATTTTCAAATTAATTATTATTTACAGGTTTTTTTTGCATACCTGAATTGCTGTAGACAAAATTATATTATACTTATGTAATGGAAAGATTTTTACAAATTATATTATATTTATGTAATGGATTTTTGCAAGCAGACTCAATCTATATTCAGGCAGGCCAGTAATTATGTCTTCCTGTAATTAGGGGTCTGAAAATTGAAAAAATATTTAATATTTTTTCAATTTTCCATTCAAAAAATAGTTAATTATCAATTATAAATTTTATTTATAAGTTAAATAATTTTTTTTGTTAATTATTATTTAAATAATTTTTTTTTCCTTACTTGATTAAAGATTTAAAATATTAGTTTAAACTTTAAATTGATTCATAGTTTTGATTCAATATGGACGAAGTCAACTTCAACTTTAGCCTATCAACATTACCAAAAAATGAGTGCCCTTACAAGTGGTTGGGTGCTTACAATTACTTGACAAAAAAATGGCTTTACTATATATCTATTTTCTAATATATTTCCCAGTTAGCACAAGACGCATTTTAGACACTTATAGACGTCTAAAACTAGTCTAGGTAAAGACGCCTTTTTATAGACGTTTTAAAGACCTCTTCTAGACGTCTTTTATAAAGGCGTTTTTAAAATGACGTTTAAAAGGCGTCTATTTAAGCGTTAAAAAAACGTCTAGAAGATATCTTTTTTTAAGACATCTTCTAGACGTCTTTAATAAATGCGATTTTAACATGACGTTTAAAATGCGTCTTTTTAAAGTTTCAAAATACGTTTAAAAGACGCGTAATAAATAGTCTAAAATACGCATTAAAAGACGTCTAGATCAAAACTAAAAGACGTCGTTTCTGAGACCTGTTTATAAATATGTCATTATGAATTCTTTTTGACGGCTTTGTCATTACGCCGTAGATGTCGTATATTCAAAGTAAAAACATAGTTTTTATTATTTTCAATAATTCGTTCAAGTTTTAAGTGTAAATTACTTTAAATTAAATTACTTTTTTACACAATTGCTAAAATTGTTGTCACAGGAATCACTATAATAATAATATATCTTTTTTTTATTAATAATTATTTTGCTTTTTTAATAGATAGTTGACTGATCATGATAATAAATGAAAATGGCAAGAATAATATATAAGTTAAATATCAGTACTTTTAGTTTTTATACACCCACAAGCCATATAATAAGTCAAGTATGCGGTCAAAAATTAGCTAGCCATACGTACGGTAATTAATAAATTAACTATTGGTGAGTTGTAAATGTTTTAAATACTGTTTTGATATATATTTGTTATTGTTATTTATCATTTTCATCTTTGATGCATCAACCGTTGGTGGTGATTGCAGCAATATTATTTTGATTACTGGTTCTTATGCATATTTTGATTATACGAAATTATAACAAAATATGATGTTATAAATACAATGAATATATACCACATACTACGCGAAAATGTTACGTCATGTACTTAAATTTATCTTGAAAGACGTCTTCATTTAGACGTCTTTTAGCCTTATGATCTAGACGTCTACAAGTGCGCCTTTTAGACCTCCTTAAAAACATCTTTAAAACGTCTTTTAAACGTCTTTGTGCTTACTGGGTTTCTTATTGACAGTATATACGCATAAACTTGATTTAATTTTAAAACATGCGGATTTGTTATTTGCAGCTCGAAATTTAAGTCTTACCCCGTGAAATACTTGGATGTGTCCTTTACCTTGTCCTTGGCTTTGAAATTCTTGTCCTTGGCCTTGACCTTGGCCTCGGCCTTGGAAAATGTGACCTTGGCCTTATACTTGGCCTTGGAGCATGTGGCCTTAGCTTTGGCCTTGGCCTTGGCTTTGCTATATTTGGCCTTATTAACAACTCTGAATTAATTTAAACGTAATAAACTAATAAGTATAATAAAAACAAATTCCATCGTTTATTATTAGTAATTACTAAATGGTAATTTTATTATAATCCAAAGTACAAACTAATGTAAACTAAACATTGTTTATAATATAACTTTAAAGTTTAGACTTGATTAAGTTGACGAGAAGCCAAATTAGTTTTATAATTCACACCCTAATTCAACTATTAACTTGTAATTAGTAATAACTAGTTAGCTAGTCATCTTTTTTTAAAGTAACATTAAATTTGTTCAAGCAAGGCATTGCTACATCCTAAAATCCTATGACATTGCGTAATTAAATAAAAACCTTGATGATTTGTTATAGTAAAATACCTTGTGCGCTAAAATACTTTTAATTGCAGTACATAAACTTTATACAGTACATATAATAGTTGTAGTAAAATGTTAAAAAATGTTTTTCAGCAATTAGTATTATCACTAGATAGCTAGATCTGCAATAGATAACAAATTTATCTAGGTAAGTGCAAAAGCTTCGGCTCTGGCCGAAGCTCCAGCTTTGGCAGAGTGACTTCGGCCGATGCTTCGGCAAAATCTTAGCTTCGGTACATCCCTAATAATTTCTACTTTGAAATAATTTCTATTTTATGAACTTATAAGATAATAATCTTCAAATTTTTAAATTTTTTTCTCCAACAAAACAACGAAGTAATGTAGGGGAGAGTGATTTAACAGAACAACGAAGTAATGTAGGGGAGAGTGATTTAACAGAACAACGAAGTAATGTAGGGGAGAGTGATTTAACAGAACAACGAAGTAATGTAGGGGAGAGTGATTTAACAGAACAACAAAGTAATGTAGGGGAGAGTTGCCGAAATTGGAACAGTGCCTTAGTTGGAACACTTGGATTTATTTTTGAAAAAAAAATGAATTATGGCTATATTTTGCATTTTTTCAGTAAAACGCATTATTTTTTACGTTTTGACACATTTTCAAAGTTGTTTCTCAAAAAATGCATTAGCATCATTGATTTAAAGTTTTTTTGCGTCATTTTTTTTCAGTGATCTAATTTTGCGTTCACACTATATTGGTTGCACTTGGTAAACTATGGTGCTATAGGTTATACATTTTTTTGGGTTTAATTTGTTATCATGTTATTGCAGTGATATAACAAAATAGTACAAAGTTTCTTTGATTGGAACAATAAAGTTTTCCTTACCTAGTCAGTAATAAAATCAAAGGGTTGTAAAAATAGTTTGAGTGCAATTAAAAAATACTTAGTAACAACCGTAAACCGTAAAAAAAAATACTTTACTTAGTGATTTTTAATCAATAAATTAAGAGAAAGTCATTACAGTTGAAGCTTTTATACAATTTTTTTGTTTGTAGAACTTAATATTGTCAGGGTAATAGTAATTCTATAATAAGTTTTGAATTAACTGTTTTAAATTTTAAATGTAAAGACAAAAATTATTTTTAACCAAGATTTGTTAATTTTTTTTTTTTAAAATAACCTGTTCTAATAAAGAAATCAGTGTTCCAATTTAGCGAACCAGATGCCTTGATTGGAACGAAATGGTACCTTTGCAAAAACAAATTTATTTCCAATAACAGTTCAAACAATTAATTCAAATTGTGGTTAAAAGTATATAAGAGATGTCTGTTTGTATTCAAATCATCAATGTTTTCATAGTTAAGCCGTCTTTGGTTATAAATATTTATTCCTTAAGTGTTCCAATGGCAACTCTCCCCAATGTGTATTATCATGTATAAATTATCAATATTTTTTAAAATGATAAAAATGGTTGTCATAATGTAACTTTTATTGGTTTAAAATTAGTCAACCCTGGTTATGGTGCAGTAGTAAGGACTAAGGTTTTTACTTTTTTTATCTTTAGGACATTAAGCCTAAAAATAAAAAAAGTAAAAATTCGCCCATAGAATGATTATATTCTCGCCAAATGCATTCAAATTCGAGAATAGATTAATCATGTTATATAAACTTACTTTGCCGAGATTTTACTGAAATTTGCTTAAAATCATAAACAAACTGATTTTACTGGGTAATTTTTAGGTCCTAGATATTACCCCCGTACATTACCCGCACCTAGTATTAGTGTCAGGTTTAAAATGTATAAAATAACTCATCTTCATGATGGTGTAACTCCTTCAATTTCTAATAGTAGTGCACATGACATTTATCAAATGAAAAAGTTACCAAACATTTTCATTTGACAAATGTGTTGGTACACATAATATTTCTTTCACTTGTGTTAACAAAACTAATTATCCAATTGATCAGTCATTCAAGATAGGAAGAAAAGCTACTCAAATATTAACTCTGGAAAAAAAGTTTTTTAACTTAATTAATTTATCGATTCTGCTAGCAACAAGGCAAAGTTTGGGGTAAGTTTTGGAAAGTCGCAATTTTTAAATTATGCTGGGAAACTTAACAGAAAGCATAAATTAATCTTCAAGAGGACCTTCAAGAGGAGACCTCTAAGCAATTGTGTCTTAATTAGTAGTTTTCGATTAAGCTCCGGCATAAGCATAAAATTACTCTGCGACAATCTGAGAGCACAGTACGTCATCAGTAAATAAATAAAAAGTGTCAAAGTACTTTAGTGCCTTGAATGACGTCATGGTGAAAAATGGTTTGCATGGTAAACCAGAATCTATTTCACACACATAAAACTGACTTTACACATGTTATCAAGCAACTTTTAGAGCTTTTTCAAGCCGTCAAAGTTAGGATTAGGGTCAGGGTTAGGGTCAGGGTTAGGGTCAGGGTTAAAGATTATCTGAAATCTGAAAGATTTTTATTGCTCTCCAGCATAAAATTTTATTCGGTCCCAGTTTCCAGGATTTATTTCTAGTTATATTTGCTTCAGCATGGGAAAAAGCAATGACTCCTAAAATTATTTTATCTGGATTCAGTTTGTGTGGAATTTATCCATCAAATTCTCACGCTATTCCAAGTGATGCATATTTGTCAAAGGGACTACAATTAGTTGAAGATATTTTAGCTAATGCAACCGTTAAGGACAATTCAATATCTATTGGCACTGACTAGTCATTGATTAGCACAAATAAGAATGAAAATCTAAATGTACATGAGAATGCAATAGAAAGAGGTCTACTTATTAATGTGAATGATGCAATGATTCCAACTCCATTATAATAATTACAAATAATGGAAACTAAAATGAGTCTTGTTCAGCTGACAAGCTAGAACTATCTGTTTGAAAACGGCAATGATCTTTTTTATGATCTTGCAACAACGGGTTTTTGACCTGTTGTGTGATACTGAAATGTTTAGTTGTATACAGCTTGTCCAAAAATATGTCTAAACACCAAAATTAAGAGTAAGGCAAAAGAAACGGAAACAAAGTCAGTTGTGTTCTAGGACTGGTTTTAGCTTAACTAAGTAGCAACTTTATCTAAGTACTTTACCTAAGTTGCAACTTTGTAGTAGCTTACCTAAGTACTTTACCTAAGTAGCAACTTTGATACCCACGTTTTATTTTTTTTGATATTAAATGAATGAAACATAAACTTGACTAACTTGTATTTAAATCGTATTAATAATTGTTATATTAGGAATTTTAATCATTAATTTTTCAATAAATTAGTTTTTCAGAAATCGATATCAAATCAAAAGATGAAAGTAGCATTACATTTGATACAGACTTTAATACTTTTCTATATTCTAGAATGTTTGCTAATCTTTTAGAACAATTAATATTCGGCATTGAAGGAGATAGAGCAAATCACTCTTTGTGACCTAGTAACACTTCTATTTTAGAACAGAAGTTGTTGTAACAGGTAATCAAAAGAATTGAAAAAAGATGATGATTTTGATATGAATAGTTATACCAATTTTACTGAAATGAAAATGAAATCGTATTAATCATACTTATAATACCAAAATTGAATTTCAAGTTTTTGGTTTCATCCTATCGTGGTAAGTAAATTATTTCATGAAGTCATCATTAACCAATTAACCAATTAACCAATTAATCAAAGACCAACTCATCATTGTTAGAGATATAAATACAAAGAAAAACTAAAATGGAAATGGATTTTTTAAAGCAAGAAAATTGACCAATTTTAGGACCAGGAAATCATACGGGCTCTAAAGTCTTACATGATTGGTGAGGTAAAATTTCGAATGTTTTGTTATTTATTAATACTAAAATACAGGCAAATGAATTAGAGTATTTGAGACATCTTGAGATGGAGTTAGAAAAAAGCAAAGCACTTGAGAAAAAAATATTAAAAATGGAAAATGACTGTCTGCAGAAAGGGTTAGAAACACGTACTGTGGTACTAGAGGATGAAAAAGACTCTTGAGAATCATTGCCAAAACAATCTTACTCAGATGCTATAACAAGTAAAAATTGGTCAACCTCTTCTTCTAAAACGAAATCCCCAGTTGAACAATTAATTGTTGTAAATGTTAATGAGCAAAAAAAATAGAGAAAAAAGAAGAAAAAATATTATTGTCTATGGCCTTCCTGCATCTAAAAAAGCTACATTGCAAGAACAACATGAGGAGGATAAAGAAAAAATTAATAAACTATTTCATGAAATAAATGTAGAAATCGTCCCAACATTCCAAAAAAGGCTAAATACGAAACAAACTGGAAAACCGGGACCAGTATAAGTGATTTTAAATGAAGATTCTGAGAGAAATCCAATTTTAGCAAAATCTAAATTATTAAGAGAAAAGTAAAATTACAAGGAGGTTTTTATTTCGCCTGATTTAACTGAAGGAGAGAGAATGGAAAACTATGAGCTTAGAAAGAAGCGTGACAAAATGAATGGTGAAAGAATAGCAAACTCGCCCTTTAGATACGCGATTCGTGGAAATGGAATTGTCAAATTTAAAATACAATTTAATACAACAACATAAAAAATTAGTAAGTTTGTTGTCATTTAATGTTTTATATACGAATGCAACATCTTTAGTAAACAAAGTTGAAGAATTTAAAATCTTATGCAGTTTTAAAAATCCTCAAATAATTGCTATTACAGAAACCTGGTTTAATGAGACATCGGAAATTTATTTGGAAGGATATTCTTTGTATAAACGAAATAGGGGGGATGGGCGTAGAGGAGGAGGGGTTGCGCTATATATAGATAGCAACCAAATCTTATGAGGTAAACGAAGGTATATTAAATAAAAGTAAAATTGAACAAATATGGATCATTATAGTTGCAAATGATAAAAATATTTAATTGGTTGCGTGTACAGACCAAGCGAACAAGTAGATATGCTTGAAATGAGTCAAATATTCACAGAAGCTTGTAAATTAGTAGAAAAAAATAATTTTGCAGATTTGTTAGTTATTGGTGATTTTAATTTTCCAAATGTAAAATGGTTACGTTAGTGAAGATTCTGTTGAAAATGAATTTATTAATATTATATATGAATGTTTTTTGTACCAACACGTATCAATCCCAACCTTTCAAAATGCACAATATGTTACAAAAAATACCTTGGATCTTATTTTTACAAAAAACAATGAACGAGTCTATCAACTTGAGTCTAACCCAGTTCTAGGAAATATAAATCATGGACATTTGGTTTTAACTTGTAAATTTAACCTTGATACTATTGCAATGGAAAATTATCCAAAGTACAAATTTGATTACAGTAAATGTGACTATCCACAAATAAGCCTAAGTATTGATAAAATTGACTGGAATCATTTATTTGATGGGTTATCAGTTCAATTTATGTATGATCTGTTTATTGAAAAAATTAGTCAACCATGTAATGCTTTTATTCCAATAATTGACGTAAATTCAAGAAAGAAAATAAAAAATAATCCGTGGTTTACTGATGAAGTAAGTCTTCTAGTACGTTCAAAACAAAATTTGCGTAATGAAAATTTATCATCGAACTGGAAAGATTTGAATAAAGTAATGACATATAAAAATATTTGCAAAACTGTGAAAATAGAATCGTTTAAAGCAAGATGTAACTATGAAAATGATCTTGTTGAAAAATCAAAGATAAATCCGAAACTGCTATATAAATATGTGAATAGTCAAAAAACGATTAAACAAATAATTAAAGCATTAAGAGATCAAACTGGTTGCGTGACAAATGATCAAAATGAAATTGTTGAAATTTTAAATAAACAAAAATTTCAAATAAACATGTGTTTACCATCGAAAATTCTACGGAAGAGCTTCCACAAATCAAGAATTTAGGGGATATTATTATTGATGCAGTTAATATAGATTACTTTGATGTTTTAAGTAGATTGAAACATGTTGATATTAATAAAACATATGGAGTTGATTCTATACATCCGTTGATTTTGAAAAATTGTGCGGTTTCCGTAGCATTGCCATTAACTTTAATTTTTATAGAATCTTTTGTTAAAAGTGAACTACCAACTCAATGGAGAGCAGCAAATATTACACCACTATTCAAAAAGGAAGATAAATTAGAAGCTGCAAATTATAGACCAGTGTCATTGACGTCAATTACTTGTAAAATTATGGAAGGTATAGTCAGAGACTGCATACAATCATATTTAATGAAATATAAATAATTATCGAAGTCACAACATGGTTTTGTTAAAGGGAAGTCTTGTACAACAAACTTATTAGAGGCGTTGGATTATATTTCATCTAACTTATCGATTGGTATTTCGGTAGATGAAGCACTTTTAGATTTTGTTAAAGCTTTTGATTCTGTTGCTCACAAAAGACTATTGATTAGACTATCTTCATATGGAATTAGTGGTTTATTATTACAATGGATAGAAGCTTTTTTAAAAAACAGAACCCATAGAGTTATCCGAGGTGATGTTGTTTCTTCATGGCGCAAAGTCTTCAGTGGTGTTCCGCAAAGTTCCGTAATAGGGCCCTTATTATTTGTTATTTTTATTAATGATATATCAAATATATTTAAAAAAAAAGTCAGAATTGTATGCAGATGATACAAAAATTCTTTCAAAAGTGATAAATGTGGAAAATAGCTTGCAAAAAGATCTGGATAGTGCAGAGGAATGGTCTAAAAAGTGGCTCTTGGGTTTTAATTCTAGTAAATGTGTTATAATGCATTATGGTATAAATAATCCGCGATTGAAATATACTTTAAACTGAAAGATTCTGAATGCGAGAGAGATTTAGGTGTATATTTTTCAACAAACTTGAAATGGAAAAAACAAATTATATCAAGTACTTCTAAAGCAAATTCAATGATGGGTATGTTAAAGATGACATTTTCACGAATTGATGCAAAATTGGTTAAATCATTGTATAAGGTATTTATTAGACCTCTTATTGAGTTTGCAGTACCTGTTTGGTCACCTTATTTTAAAGGAGACATATCACTTTTGGAAAAAGTTCAACACAGGATGACTAGATTAGTTCCATCATTAAGGAAAATTAATTATGAAAAGAGATTGGAAATATTAGATATATCTACATTAAAAACAAGGAGGGAACGGGGGGATTTAATACAAGTGTTTAAATTACTTAACAGATTTGAGGAAATTGATTTAATTAATGAACCGAAGCTTAAAATTGATTCAATTACTCGAGGTCACAATCTTAAATATGAAAGAGAAATTGTGAACTATTTACTTCGGCATCATTTTTTATTAAATCGTACGGCCAATTTATGGAACGCTTTACCGGAAATTGTTGTTACATCAAAAACTGTCAATCAATTTAAGAATAATTTAGATGAGTATAACGCCAAAACAAAGAAGTTTTAACTAAACATTTTTAATATATATTTGGATTAATGCTGTCAAAGTGTGATAAACCACACTCGCTGGATTCGTCCAGTTACAGTTTAACTACTAACTAACTAACTAACTTCATCATAACAAAGCAACTTTTAGTTAATTGAGAAATAATACATTAAACTTACTTGAATACTTTTACATCAATTGAATGTATGTTTTTATTAAATGATGGATGATATTTTTTCAAAATGATGGATAATGATGATGGAGATAATGGTGTGTTGGCATATTTTGGCATACATTTGCAAAAAACTTTTGCAAACGAACGCTGAAGTGAACGCACGCTTTTTCACTGCTTAAAGAAAATAAATTAAAAATCGTTAATAGTATTAATAGTTATTTATATTATATTAATTTATACTTATTGAACATGTCTATCACACTTGTTGAAGTTAAAAAATTATTAACGGAAATGTTTATGAAGTTTAAGATTGAGACGGAAGAAATGCTTAAGCAACAAGAAAATACTTTCATCAACATAGTTAGTTCTAACACAAAAATATTAAATGATCGATTAGACAGAGTTGAAATTAACATAATTCAAAACTCAACTAAAATAGCATCAATTGCAAAGGAAGTGGAAGAAATCAAAGAAAGTTTAAATTTTCATGAAGATCTCTTTAATAAAAAAATAAAAACCGCCATTGATTGTCTTGCAAAAGAAAATCTGGCAAACATCAAAATACAAAATCACATCAATGAACTTATAAAAATAAATAACAAACTCAGAGAGATTGAGTATAGGTCAAGGCGTAATAATTTAAGAATCGATAGTGTCCTTGAAAATGACAATGAAAGCTGGGCTGAATGTGAAAAGAAGGTAAAAGAAATATTCAACGACATATTGGGAGTCAAAAATGTAAACATTGAAAGAGCACATAGAATAGGCAAAGTAGTTCACTACAAACATAGAACAATAATTCTAAAACTTCTTCATTTTAAAAATAAAACTGAAATTCTCAAGAATTCTTCCAAATTAAAAGGTAAAAACATTTTTATATAAGAAGATTACTGCAAGAAAACGACTGTTATACGAAAGACGCTGCATGAAAAAATGAAAATTGAAAGGCAAGCTGGCAAATACGCATATATTTCATACGACAAACTTATTGTTTGGGATTAGAATTCCAAAAAAAAGTAATATCTTATCTATTTAAATTTTTAATATATTTTTAATAAACTTATTTGCTTTGATTAATTATGCATCAGTAAACTTTTACTATTTTTGATAAAAATGTTTTTTCATTGCACGAAAACATTAACAAAAACAATAATTATTTTCATGAAATTAACAAAGAATGTACTTATTACTATCCGTGGGGAGTACAAGGGTTTTTATTTAACAATTAGCAATAAAAACCTATATAAAATTAGAATTCTACACGTTAATATTCGAAGCATAAAATGCAATTTTAAAAAACTTCAAAATTTACTTAAAGAAACAAAAAACGCATTTAATATAATTTGTTTAACTGAAACTTGGGCTACTGCCAAAGATTTAATTAATGACTCTAACTTTCATCTTCCTCATTTTGAAATAATCTCACTTGAAAGGCAAACTTATAAGCGCGGTGGCGAAATTCTAACTTACGCTCATGAAAATATTAGGCATTGTTTTAGAAACGATCTTAGTATTTCTAACGGCGGTGGAGAACTTTCAACCATTGAAATAATAATTAAACAAACAAAAAAACATTCTTCTAAGTTACTGTTATCGACCACCTGATGGTGTGGCCAAAAACTTGAGCATGTTCTTACTACAAAACGTTATTAAAGAAGAAAATAATAAAAATTAAAATTTATACATATTGGAGACTTTAATATAAATTGTTTTATATATAATTATAACAACAAAGTTAGAAACTTTTATGATTCAATTTTTGAGGCTGGAGCTTTTCCATTAATAAATCGCCCGACAATAGTGACAAAATATTCAGCAACTTTACTAGACAATATCATCACAACAGACATCTTTAATAATGATATAAAAACAGGAGTCCTGAAAACAGATATCTCGAATCACTTTCCTATTTTTCTGGCTATACCCACTAACAAGCAAATGTATTTTTAATCCATCAAAAATTGAATTGTTTAAAAACTAACTATCGCTACTTCATTGGAAACATTTAAACTTTAATGATAACGCTAATAATCTTTTTGAAAATTTTTTTAAAATATTTTTTTCGGTTTACGATGCTAACTTTTCTAATGTTACTCATACATCAATAACTAAAAACATAAATAATCCCTAGGTTACCAAGGGTTTCAGAAAATTATCAAAAACTAAACAAAAGTTATACATAAAATATCTAAAAACAAAAACTCCTGCAAGCGAAAAAAATTACAAAGAATATAAAAATTTATTTGAAAAAATCCGGAAAAGTATAAAAAAAAATACTACTCAGATTTGGTTAATAAAACAAAAAATGACGTAAAAAATGACGTAAAATGCTTTTGGCAAATACTAAAAAAAATAATTGGGAAACAAAAACATGCTCAAGTTTTTGGCCATACATGCCTAAAATCGATAACAAAATTTTATACAATCCACAAATCATAGCTCATGAGTTTAATAAATATTTTGTTGCATTGGTCCAACCCTATCAGATAAAATTCCAATTACCAAAACTTCTTTTTATGATTTTTTAGCATCTCTCGATAAAGGCATTTGCTCTGATGAACTACCGTCCGAATTATCCTTCGAAAAGTTTGAGAAAGCTTTTAAAACCTTAAAAAAAAATAAAGCAACTGGACCTGATGAAATAAACGGAAATATAGTTATAGATTGCTATGAACAAATTAAAAATATTCTTTTTAAAATCTTCAAAGCATCCATCCATCAAGGAATTTTCTCTGAGCGTTTAAAAATTGCTAAAATTATTCCAATTCATAAAGAAGGCGACAGATCCAATATCAATAATTATCGCCCTATCTCTATCCTATCTATATTCTCTAAAATCCTAGAAAAAATTACGTTTAACAGAGTTAATAATTATTTTAATTACACTAACGTATTATACAACAATCAATTCGGTTTCAAAAAAGATAGTTCAACTGAGCATGCCATTATTCAATTTTAACGCAACATCTCTATCAAAATCTATCAAAAGCATTTGATACCGTTGACCATAATATTTTAATACAAAAAATAAAATATTACGGTTTAAACAATAATACTTTAGCGTGGTTTAAAAGCTATTTAACAAATCGTAAGTAAGTAGTCTATAGTAATAATGGCGTTCAAAGTGAATCCTTAAATATAACCTGTGGTGTTCCACAAGGTTCTATTCTTGGACAGCTGCTATTTCTTATATATGTCAATGATCTAAACAAAGCCTCTAACCTGATGAGTATTATTTATGCAGATGACACTAACTTATTTCAATCCCACACTGATGTTTACAAACTTTTCTCAAAAACTAATAATGAACTTATAAACATTCCTAAATGGTTTAAATGTAATAAATTAGCGTTAAATACTAACAAGACTAAATGGATTTTTTTTGCATTCTTTCTCAAAAAACGTTCTTTACCAGATATTATGCCTCAAATTTATATTGATGAAACTCTAATAAAAAGAGATTCTGTTATAAGATTCCTAGGTGTTTATCTTGATACTATTTGGAAAAACCACATTAATCTTATAACCACCAAGATATCTAAAAATATTGGCGCTTCGTATAAAGCCCGACCTTACTTAAGCAAAAAAAGCCTTACGCAGCTCTATTACTCATTCATACACAGCCATATAAACTACGCAAATATTGCATGGGGTAGTACCGAGAAAAGTAAACTACAACGTCTATATCGGCAACAGAAACATGCGATTCGGGTGATTAATTATGTGGATCGCTCTACACAAAGGCTCAAAGCCTTTCTTTGATGAAATGAAAAAACTTAATGTCTTCAAACTTAACGTTTTTAATGTTTTATGTTTACTTATATGTGGAAAAACAATTTATCCCTACCTGTTTTTAACGACCTTTTTACATTAAAACTTACTAATAAGTACTCACTAAGAAATAAAGATTTTCTAAATGAACCATTTTGAAGAACAAAATTTAATAAATTTTGTATTAGTTATCGAGCACCTTACCTTTGAAATAAATTATTTCTGCCTAACTTTGATCCTTTTATCCGTTTTTCTGTTTTTGAAAATGAATTTAAAATTTTTATTCTTGCTATGGATGACATTTTAAGTTACTATTAATTTTAAATATGCTTGATTTATGAGATTTATATTTATATTAATAGATTTATTTGATTTAATTTATAACAGATCTATAAAATTTATTATTATGGATTTTTATAACAGATTTGTCAGAATTATTATTACAGATACGTGATTATTATTATGAGCTTATTATTATATATTTATTATTACGGCCGTTTTTTGAATTTATATTTTCAGTTTTTAGTAGTATGTTAAAATTGTAAAGGTTCTAATCATAAGATTAGTTAATCTTCTTTCAGAAGCCATGTTTTCTTTGGTCTTGTAAAATATAGTATTTATTTTACGGCAAATGTAAACAGAAAAAGTATATATATATCCTGAGGCCACTGGACAAAAAAAGGTAACAAGTAGAGCAGGTAAACATAAGTTCTTTGTTTTAACTTCTCAAGAAGCATATTTAGCAAAACTGAAATATCATCAGGAAAAAATCCATTAGCAAAGAAAGAAGCGTAAAAACAACTGTGACTAATGCTGATAAGCTCAAGAAACTAGATCGTACAAAAGAAATTGACATAACAACAAAAAAGAATTTAACTTCAATATCTTCTGCATAATTATCTTAATTATCTTAATTTTCTTATTATCCCAACCATTAGTAGGTACAATAATTTCGTTGGTTATATTAGATAATGTCAATGTTTCATATCTAGAAAGACCTTGATCAAGCAATATTGGTGTTTTGGTTTATCCTCCTCCGGCTAATTTCCATATAGAGGCCACATACTAAGGGCTGCGAAGACGAGTTCACTAAAGAGCATCCTAAACGCTTCACAGAGCAAGAGTAAGTTATTTTAAAATAAACAAAGGATCATAGAGTGAAAGTCAGAAAAAGTCGAGTTAGAAAGTTAGAATAGAGAAAGCGGACAGATATTGCACCAGATATTTGAATGTGCAATTTAAGTACAATATCAAGTTAACTTGGTAGAAGCTGTTGTACATTTTATTACGGATACCATTTTATTTAATTATGTAACTTCATCAAGCATTATTGAACAAGTAGTTTAATGATTGAAGAAAGTTATCGAAAGAAAAATGGAAAAACTGAAATAAAAATAAAACGGTTGAGGCTCATGCAAAGTAACTTTTTGTGATGACAAAAGTGAAAAAAATTGGATTGAATGCCAGGAATGCTATAAATGCTACTACAATGTATGTCGGGGTTTGGAAAAGGTTCCGTGAAATATTTTTGTTTGTATTATTTGTGAGAACGATACTAACTAACCGATACTCTTACATTAATCTGAGTTAATGTAGCCACCCATAAAGTATCTTTAAAGTAAATAAAATTAACACAATGAATTAGGTCTGATCTCAGCACTGGGAAAAGGAAATTCCATGGTGTTTGGCATTTGCATGCTCCAAACGCACCAAGTGGAACGTTTAGAGTCTACAAACTAACTAACAAAATTTAACCTCGCACACCTGTATATAAAGTCACCCATTGGGCGAGATTAAGTTCAAGTAGGCGAGGTTCAGTGCTTTGTCACCCTGTACAATTTTCAATAGTAATGTCAAACACTCTTATAAAAGTTAGAATAGTCAGCATGGTAGTTGAATTACTAAGCAATCTAATGATGCATGTACAGCGGTGTAAGTCTATAAGCATCCTGTACAGTGGTGTAAGTCTATAAGCATTCTCTACAGCGGTGTAAGTCTATAAGTATCCTGTCAGCAGCAATTTTGATGCGGTTTAATTAAATTGTTTTATAACGTGTTTCAAAGATTTTCTTCAAAAACATCTTGACCGACCTACCCATTCCTACACGTACCTGAAAAACAGTATTTAATAAAATGTTCGTATGAAGATGGTATTAAATATGGTTTATATGTATATGTATTAAGATGGTTTTAGTATTATACCGGTCGCACGTAAAAGTAAGATTTCAAATTTTAACAGACGTTATAACTATCAATCTTTACATAATTATCAGACTATCAATTTTTGCATAACTATCATAATTATCAGACGTTGTCATAATTATCAATGAAAACTTTGCTATTTTGATACACAAATAATTTTTGAATTTTACATAATTCCAAACAATAAAAACAAGAAAATAGTTTTAATAAAAAATTAGTTACTCAACGTTTTTACAACTGTTTTTACAACAAGTTTTTACAACTGTTTAACAATAAAGAAGGAAACCTTTTTGGTAAAATTTAAAAAAAAAAACTTTTATGGTAAAGTTTCAAGAAAGAAACCTTAAGGGTTAAAATGTAAATGAAAGGAACCTTTGTGATAAAATGTCAATGAAAAAAATCTTTGTGATAAAATGTAAAAAAAAAAAATCTTAACTTGTGTTTAATAAACTATATCCCCTCCCTCACACCCTCCTTCAACCAAAAACTATATCCCCTCCCTCACACCCTCCTTCAACCAAAAACTATATCCCCTCCCTCACACCCTCCTTCAACCAAAAAAAAAACCGAAAAAATAATCGAAACCGTTTTTCAAAATTTAGTAGAACTTTCTTTGACTGTATTCAAAATTTATTCAAAAAAAATAAAACAAAAAAAAAAACATTTTCTTAACTTTTCTAGACAAACTACTATAGCAATCATCATCGTCATCATCATCGTATTTAATCGTTATTTTTTTTTGGCTAAACAAATGTACATGAAAATGTTTTTGGCTAAACAAACATGAAAATGTTTTTATAACAGGATTTTTTATAAGTTTTAGGAAAAAAAAAAAAAAAAAAGGTGGAGGGGGGAGGGGGAATTGAAACTTATTTCGTATTAAATAATAAATAAATTTGCAAGATTTTTGCACTAACATTTTTTTACGAAACGTAATCACAAATTTGTTTACATATTTTTTACTAATCATTTCCTTTCATATTAAATATTTGAAATTTCTTTAAAATATTTTACTTGTGACAAAACTTGTTTAAACAAATATTGTTTGAATTAAAACGTGAGTAATTTATTTGAATTAAGAAAGGTTAAAACCGGACTTATTTTCAGTGTTTTAATACTTAGCGTTTATGTCATTATAAAAAGTATTGCACGTCTAAAATAGTTTTAAACTTAAATGTAAATCATAATAATAAATTTTTATCTAATAACTAATCTGCTTCCGTAATTTTTTCTACACGCACTAACTAGAATTATTTATTAAATCAAATTAGGCGTTTTGATAAGTACATAGTTGTTTGCGGTTTATCCAACCACTCCCAAATCGACTTAATTTTGTGTAACTAAATATCAACAATAATCTGCAAACAATAGAAAAAAGAATAAAGTTTAATAAAAATGTTTATATATATATTGTATATAATAAATATTTTTTTCAATAAATATATAATTTCTATTTACAGTATAAAAATATTTGCAAACTCTTTTACTATTGACAACATAAAAATGTCTCGGAGAGAACTTGGTGTAACTTCTTTTTTCCGCGTTGTGACGTCATAATATAGTCTATAAGCCAATGAAATTGCTCAGCACCATCCTCGGATAGAGTAAACGCTTTTCTTATTTTTTGCAAATATTTTGTAAAGTCTAAGTAATTTTTTCTAGTAATGCTATGCAACTTAATTTCTACATCTTGGACAAATAACTTTTGCGCATATGCTATTAGTCTATTTAAAGGTTCGTGAAGGCATGAATATTTTATTCCACTGTGTGTATTCATTGTTTCACAACGCTGAGCGATTTCAGTCAGTAATAAAGGATTATGAATACAGTTTTCTATTACAGGAATAAGTTGAGTCAGTTCGTCCATTCCAAGAGTACAAGCCAAACTTCCTAACCATAAAACGTCACAAATAGCTGGGTGTTGGTTTTCTAACGGCCCTATGTCCAATTTTTTTAAAGCTTGTATTGCAATTTTAAACGCTTTTTGATGGTGCTTTTTACTCTCAAGATAACGCGCAACACTAAACAACTGCGCGGTATTAAACCGAGGACTTGATTCGTATACAATTTGACAAACTAGCTCTAAACTTTCAGTTTCGTTTTCACAAAGAGTCAATGCAAACAGAGTACACGGAACTGGATCTTTAATACAAGCTTCGATTACCATAGTACGTATATCGGATAAAAGTTTTTCTTTGTCGTTTAATGAAGTGAGATTTAGGTGGAAAAATACCGGCTGCGAAGTTAATATTGGACCTACATCGCTACTAATCTCTTTTGCTTCAAACAAATCGTTCCAGTTTCTAATAATAAATTCAATTGCTCGACGACCGGTTTCAACAGCACAAGAAACCAACCACCTTATGCAAGTTTTTCGCTCATCAATATTATTAACCAGTCGAACACTGCGAACACTTAGTTCGAATGCGGCTCCAAGTAGTTCCTCATTGGTTGAATTAGTTATTTCACCATTAACTTTTTGTTCGGTAACTGCAGTATCTCTGCATATTTTAGATAAACGCACAAGTTGAGAAGGATTTTTAACGTCATCAAGAATAGAATTTAAAGTAATTTTTAGATATGATGGATTAATAAGACAAACTTTTAGTAAACTCGATGCTAGCTCTCCCTGCTGATGTTCAACATGTGAAATGACGTAACATGAAGTGTCATTAAATCTAAGGTTTTCTAATACAAGTTGGTCTTCATCCTCGTTTTCTGTTTCATTTTTGTTCAAAACTAAAGGCAGAAAGTAAAGTCCTAGTTGAAATGCAAGAGAAACATCACTAGTTGATAAGCTTTCGAAAATGTAACGTGCAAAACAATGATTGGGAAGAATATTTAAGCGATTTGGAACGTTAGAAAAACGCGAGTAAAACTCATTCGAATATCTTGTTAAAATTGCTTTAATTTCCACATTTTTAATGTCATGTTTTTCCAGTAAAGATATGAGTTTTTCACATCGATGTGTAAGACGGTTTTGTGCATACTCGCCTTTCGGAAGCTCAAACGAATTGAAAAGGGAAATAATAGCAATCTCGAAGGCTTCACTATCAAGACTATTATCAGTAAAGCAATTGTAAAATATTTGAATAGGATTTGTGTTTGATCCAAAAAAATTTTTTTTATCCAACTGTCTTTGAATCTGGAGTGCTTTTTGGCTTAAATTTAAAGCTTTTTCTTCACATCCACATAAACGGAGACTTTCCACCGTTGATGCCAAAATAAATAAATCGTCTATAAGGAATAAAAACGTTATTAGTTTCAAACTTGTTAATATTAACTTTTGCGTATTTAAATAAGCAATAAAAAAAAGATATTTGAACTGATAATTATAATTGTCCTACCTTTTGAATTGTCACAGTTCACAACCTCTTGTAACAATTTTTTGGAATGTTTATCATCGTAGTTTTCAGTTGGACATAGATCACATTCGAAGTATTTATATAAATATGTTCTCAATTTATTTTTTATTGAATTCGGTAGATTAGGATTTAAAAATACACAAAACCAGAGCGACTGCAATTCGTCGTATATTCTCTGTACTCGATGACATACTTGAATTTGAGGTTTGTTAATACTTTCTTCTAATATGGCGTCAGTGACTGCGGTAAGTAGATTTAAATAATTACTATCTTTTGCGGCAAGCATTTCGCGTACCTAAAACAAGATAAAATAATATACAATTACAAAACCAATCAAATTTAATAATTAATATAAAGAAGTTAAAAACTTATACTTTTTATTATTTTCATGAAGTTACAATATTCCATGTTTAATTAGATTATCAAAAAAAAAAAAAGTTTATTAAATTATTTATTTTATTTATTTAATTTCACAAATTATTATTTTTTTAAAATAAATTTATTGTTAAACAAAAGTTAAATTTTTTTCAAATTTTATAAAGTTAAACAAAAAAAAAACGATCCGAGGCCTAAAACATTTTTTCTCATTACCAGACTAAAATTTTTTTTAGACTTTTGCATTATTGATTTGTTTTATTTAAAAAAATACGTGCACCGTAACACATATTACGAAAGGTCGTAAAATTACCTTATTTAAGTGAGCAATAACATTTCTCCCAGCGGTTCCCTCGACCATATCAATTTTAATTTGTTCTTTTATATTTTCTTGATCCATAAACCAGATAATGTCTTCTCCACAGCTTCCGCCGGCAGTTGGATCTGGTAGACCACATATTAAATTAAATTCTGAATTTGGAACAGTTATTTCATCTAACAGCTTTTGAACGGAAGGCAGAATATCATTTTTATGAGATGAAACTAACATGAGCAATAGCTTTTGCAAATCTTTTTTTTTAAGTTGGACAATTGAATCCGATATGGGTGGTTTTATTGGTATTGAGTCGGCATTGCGTATTCGATAAATTGCAAGTGCTACGACGTGTGAACACCACAACAAATTTTTTTTACTACAACTGCATTGAGTGCTGGTTATACAGTTTCGATCAAAGTTTATAGAACATTTAAAAGTGTAGATCTTCTGTTTGCTGCAAATTCCAATCCTTTCTTGTACAGTTCCGTTCAAGTGAAAACCTAAAACAAGGAATTTTAACTTTAAAATAGATATTTATAAAAATAATTTATTAGTATTTAAATATAGATAATGAGTGTATAATAAGTATGAAAAGTGATAAACATAATTGAAATAAAAATGAATTTTATTTAAAATGATTTCAAAATGTGAAAGATAAAACAAAAAGAAAAATCGACAAAATAAAATTTCCGGGCGTTTAAACATTGTTTTTCAATAAAGGGCGTTTTGTTGCCTCCCAGAAGTCTCACAGCGTGTTTCATATAAAAATCTCCCGCGGAGAATAGAAAGAAGTTTCAGAAAATATGAGATAACCTCTAATAATGTGGATTTTTCCTTATTTTAAAAATTATTTATTGGTATCTGCTTTTTTTAAAAAAAAATATTTTTGTTGCTAATTTTCTGTTAATTTTCCATAAGAACGCGCAAGAAATCAAGGTTTCTGGAAAAAAAAACTTTTATAATTGTTAGCGTGGACAACCTGACTACTCATACAGTAAAAAGTATATATATATATATATATATATATATATATATATATATATATATATATATATATAACTCCGCCTTTCATAGCATAGAAGCATTTCTTTTTTTTTTAATTAATAACCTAGACTCTACATAAAAAAAATGTCCATAACTTAAAAAAATACGAAATATTTTACACGAAGAATACAATAGAAAATCTTCATTAACAATAGTAACAGTAAAAAAAAGACGATTTTGAAAGAAAAAAAAAGAGTATTAGTTCCCACCCTAAAAAATTCGTCATTTAAAAAGGCGTCAATTAAAATGTTTTTATTTTAAGTTGTATGTTTTAATTTATTAAGCAAAGTCCTCACAAAGTAGGCTTTAGCTTGGTGGAGACATTTTTTATTAAATAGAACTTGTAAAACTAATAATATAATTAAATATAAATCTTTTTTTATTTTCTTGTCTATTTTTTATCTCCGTATATTACAACTAAAATCTTTAAAGGTTTCTACTCTTGTCAGAACAGGCGTTGCTTAACTAAAGTTGTTCAACGGGTTTGGTTGAAAACCTTTTTTTCATTATTTGCAAAAATTCGTACGCGTGATAAATACTTTGTATCAACATTTTGATTACTATTTTTATAACCAAAAAGAAATGCTAAGAATTAGTAACAAAAAAATGAACTACTAAAAATTTTTTAATAATTTTTTTCACGTTGTTAAACCATATTCAGAAAAAAAAGTCTACAAATATGTTTGTTACACTCAGCGCCGACTTCCTGGCGATCAAGAAGGCCACAAACAAAACTACTTAATTTATTAACGGTAAGCATTCATCCGGAACAGGGTTAAACCGCATACTCTGAACAAGAGCATATGACGTAAATCCTTTAACTATATCGCGCTTGTATTAAATATTGACTTCTAAATGCAGACGCAAATTTATAAAATATCACTGCTTTAGAAAAAAAGTTTAGCAATTTCAAACAAGGGATTTATATAAGATCTTTATAGACGTTAGTTTTCATAATCACGTAGAGGGCTTACTTTTAATTTAAAAATATTACAAGAACTGCTAATATTTAAACAAACATTAAAAAAACAACTTCTAAATTTTTTTGTAGACTACGGATTAAGATTTGCCAATAATACGAAAAACTTTTAAATGTTTGCAAATAAAATGGATTTAATTTAAAGTTTGAGCAAAATTCATGGAAGAATAATGAATAACCACGCGGTATAAAATTTCTTATTTATGGAGAGTACCTTTCTTCGCGCAGCTGACGCCTAATAAAAATCTCAGCATCCAACAAAGCCGAGAAATGGCATCCAGCTGAAAAGATGTCGCCTTTAACTCAGATAATATGTGAACATTCAACGTCATTAATTACGGTGATGGCGACGGTACTTTCGATAAAACAATTCCTTTATCTTAATCTCGATAATAACTAATTATACGTTACCGATAATCAGCAATTATACATTACCAATATAACTTATTGCGTATGAAAAATTATAATATTTTATAAGAATGAATTCATGAATAAGTAAACACAACAAATTTTATCTAAATTTTTTTAAAAAAAAAACTTCATGCCAAAATGTTTTTGTAAAACAACAAGATTATTGCAACACATCATATTTTAAGTGTTATACAAGTGTTAAGCCAGTAAAATTCATAAGTCTTAGATTATACTATATGATATGATATGATATATATATATATATATATATATATATATATATATATATATATATATATATATATATATATATATATATATATATATATATATATATATATATATATATATATATATATATATATATATATATATATATATAGTTTAAAAAACAAATTAATTCTTACCAATTTGTACTACATCATCAACCGATCCAGTTTCCACTAACTTAAGTCCTGTATGGAATGGTTGTTTTAATAGGTCTGTAGTGTTTGCATAAAGCTTATTTGATGAATACATTTCGATGCTTGATTCTTTGAGCGGGAAAGCGTAATACAATATTCGTTTTAAAACTGGGCTAGGGATGCAGCCGATCTTTTGTTCAACTTCTTCATAAGGGAAATTACTGGCTATGCACTGAGAGGTGATATCCAACAAAGATCGCACATGATTTAATATTTTTGGTTTCTTGGACCCACTACACTCCATGACACAATGACGTTTTTTTTTAGAAGCCATATTAAAAATAATTATTTTTCCAAGTTACTCCTTGACAATTCTAATATTTTAGATAAAAGTTATATTAAGAAGTACAATGCAAGCAATGTTGTTATTTCGTTATATATGGTAACACAAGACAAGTCGGTTTTTATATTCACGACAAGTTATAAATAAATTAGATTTCGGTTTTCTGTTATCAGTTAGGAGAAAATAAACGTTCATCACAAAATCTTTAAATAGTTCTACCAATTGTAATCTTTTAACAAATAAATTCTTTCAACACATTTATGTTCATTATTGATCTAATTCCTTTGTTAAAACACGTTTTCAAAGCAGACGACCGCTGGCGTCTTCTACCCTCAAGGCTTCGTGAACATAATTATTAGGCGATTTGTAATATTGTATAACGAGACCGTAAGCAATATTTAAATGGTTCTACTTTTCAAAACGTGTGCCTGAATAATACATATTTAAAATGGACGGGGCTTTAACAAATGACGCATTTTCGGCGTCCAATAGCTTTCGCAACATGAACACGTCTGTCGATAACTTCTCTACCTCCCGCAGTGTAATTACATTTGAAAAATAAATAAATTAATGTAAGACAACAAATTTTAGGAAGTATTAGCGTTGCATTGCTAAAAATTAGAAAAAAAGTTAAAGGATATGATAAATATTCATCTGTTTTATATGGTCTGCGATTATCTGGCATTTTTTATCTTTAGGAAAAAAGAGTTAAGTTTGACAACTGTAATGCGCTCTAATTTAAGTTCAAATAATTCTCAGAAATATAAACATTGTTATAAAGAACAAAGTTGCTTTAGGACTTTTTTAAGTGTAAACGCAGCCTCTATTTGAAGACGAGTTTATGTTACTACTATTGTTACCGCATGTAAATTGCTTATTGTTATCGTTGTTCAGTTTGTTCGGTAAATTGCCTTTGAAACTTTGTCTTATTTTAAAGGCCCGTGTATTACATTTTATATGAACCGCCAAACGTAAACGGTTTCTTTTTATCTATGCTTTATCCTTTATTTTTATTGATTTTGCGCATTATTTCGGGAAAACTCGGAAAGATTTAATATAGAGTATTTTTTGTGATTCATTGCAAAGATACGAGTGATCGTTGCTGGATGCTTTCTTAGAATTCGGAAACCTATATATTTCTGCTAAATAATTTTGTGTTTTAATAAATTAAATTTACAAAGTTTTGTTAAAAAAAAATTACAAACTAATTTTTAAATATCCGAAGGTTTTTTTAGTTTTACTTTCTTTAATAGTTTTTTTAACTTCTTTTTTAATATGGTTCTTTTTTTACTTTTTTTCAATACGGTTTTCAAACATCTTTATAGTTAATTTTAGTTGCTATTTATAACTATATTTTATCTACAGAATGCTTTACATAGTTGCTATTGGATTGATTTTGGTTTGTCAAATCTGTTATACTGATTTTTAGAAACTCTGTGCTTTCAAGTGACAACAATAAAAAAAAATCAAAGATACTGATGATTATTAGTATTAAATAATATCCGAAGGTTCTCCATACATTTTCATCTGGTAAACACATGTGCTTGTTAGAGCACATGTGCTCTATCAGAATAAATTCTATGATCACAGGCTATCGCTACTATCTTTTGGACGCATGTATACGTTTATACTTTTTTTTCTACACATTGTTTGTAATCTCTTAAAAACAATGAGGCCAAACAAATGCTCTATCAAAACTTTAGCGCAGAATTTCGCTGCTTATTCCATTTATCTTAATAGATAAGACTTTTAGATTTATTGCATTTGTAAATTAGACAACTGCTTTGCGATAAAGAAAAAACATTAAAATAAATATGGAAACAAGGTTCGGGTTTTTAATTAGAGGTTATGTAAAACTCTATTTTTAATATAACTAAAAAAATTACGACAGAATTACTAAAAAAGTAATTCTGTCGTAATTTAATTAAATTTTTAATTTTAAATGAATTTTAAAAAAAATTGATTTTGTTAGCTTGACTTCTAGTTACCGTAGTAACCGCTTTTACTATTTGGATTCTTAAGTTCGTATTATTAATTATAAAACGACACATATTTACAAGTTTTACATTACGCCATTTGTTTACAAAACGCCATAATTTGCAAATTTTACAAACTAATGTAACTGTCTTTTTTTCCGATTAATACGCAAAAATATTGCGTATTATAAGTTGTAGTTTTTTGCGTAGATGGGTTGTAGTTTTTATAACTAAATAGAAGAAGAACAAAACGGTTAAAAAGATATTAAATTTACATTTTTTTAAAACTTATTATACATTTAAATATTTTATCATCGAAGAAATTATCTTGTAGCATGACTTAAGCAGAAATTTAGCTTAAAAAAATTAAATACAATATATACATATATATATATATATATATATATATATAAAAAAAAGGTTTATTTAATAATAAATAAAAAAGTTGAATTAAAAAAAATTCCGTTATAGTTTTAAAGTTTAAATTTTTTTTTTCTAATTAATTTACCTTAAGTAAATTATTATTTTTTTAATATCCGCTTTTTACTGTAAATTTACGAGTATATGTTAAAATCATATGTTAAATAAAGTTCAATTTTTATTACCGCCTAAGTATGTACAGACGTATGCAAATGTTTTCGTTAGAATAACAATTACATATAACCTTGACTTTCGTTGAGTTGAGGTTTATATTAACTTTTTCAAATTTATCTTTCTCAGAACGTTCGGAAACATTACTTTCCGTTGTTTTTTGTCAGATGGCTCAATGTACTAATACTTTTTTCACTTTCCGATGTCAACGTCACTCCAACATTAAACAGCTTTTACTGTTTTGCGTTTGCTTTTTCGGCTCCTGTGAGTCGTTTTTTGTTTTTCTTTTAGTTTTTTGGCTCCAGATTTGTGTTTATAGCTTATTAAAATTGTTTAAAACGCAACTCAATATGCAATAAACGCTTTTATATGCTTCATATTTTTTGTGTTTTATAAAGTTTTATAAAGTTACCTTCTAATCAACTAAACAACAAGACAAAACAGTCATCACTTTTATTAAAAACAAACTTTTAGATTCAATCGAGTATTAAGTTCAAAGAAAAAATTCAACTTAAATTCCGAGAAACCTTTTCGTTCTTATTATAATTTTATAAGGTTTAATTGACACTTAATTGACAACAAATACAAATTTGTTGGACTATTAATAAAAAATTCTAAAATTAGCAATGGTAAAAATAACTTTCAAATAAATATTTATCAAAATTTACTTTTCATCTCTAAATACTAGACTTGGTGTCGTAGAATTTTACGACAAATATTTTTGAAAATAACCTCAACAAATATAATCCAGGAATGACAGCTATAACAAATATAATCCAGGAATGACAGATAGGGGAGATTAGGGTAATGGCGAACGCGGGGTAATTACAAACATGATCAAAACAGCATTTTAGAAAAATAAATTTGACAATTTCTTTTTAGCTGCGGATTTTAGCTCCAGACGTGCCGTAGTGTAGACGTGCCGTAGTGTAGACGTGCCGTAGTGTAGACGTGCCGTAGTGTAGACGTGCCGTAGTGTAGACGTGCCGTAGTGTAATGAAGCTGCGATTGTTGTTCACTTTAATTTGATTTTGACTTTTTCTTATAATTTTATGCAACTTTTTTTTTGAGTAACATTCTGTTGTAGCTTCTATTGGTATAAAACCACTCCTTTGTTGTTGTTGTTGTTGTTGTTGCAAAGTATAATTTTTGCACTTAGTTATTATATTTAGCATTTTATCCGTTAATACTCAATAGTGTTTGTGATTGCCTCCCCCCCCCCCCCCTCCGTGTTTTCGGGATTATCCCACAAAAATTGCTTTTGAGGGTTTTTAACTGAATAGTTAGACTAATTGATAAGCAATCAATATGATCAATTTTGTATAACTGTTGTCTTTAATTTGGATTCCCGTTTAGCTGTTCGCTGATACCCCACTCTACCCCGCCATTTTTAATTATTTGTTTCATTTCTCATGATTCTCAAGTGAATTCCCAACTTTGTATCATTTATATTTTATACAATAAAATATTCTGTAAAAACAAATCACTAATAAACTTGAATAATGATACTCTATGAAAATTTAAATTTTCATAGAGTATCATTACAAATAAACAAAATTTAAAAAATATACATATTATATAATAAAATATTCATTTAAAAGAAATTAATTTTTTTTTTTAGGAATTTCTTTAAAACTTGTATTCTAAACAAAAATCTAAACCATAATAGATTTGAATAAAAAAAAATAATAATAAAAAAAAAAAGAACAATAACTGTTACGAAATTTTTTTTTTAAATAATAAATCAATTACAAAGTGACTTATGTGTAATACACGTCTATTCTAAAGAGACTGGGTCTAAAGAGACTGGGTCTAATGACTTGTTTCAGTCTTTCTCCTTTTTTTTGTCAAGAAAGAATTTGCATGATATTTTAAAAATATTTTAATTGGAATAATACAAAGATATATTTAACTGAGTGTTTTTATGTTTACATCATACTCTTGTTGTATTTGATATCATCTTATAATATTTATTTTATTTTATATTAGAGTTGTATATGACTGTTTCTTGGATATTAATTTTTTTACAAACCTATCAATCTGTTATTTTTAAACTTGTAATTTCATTATAGTTGTAAAATTTACACAAAACAAAAGGATTCTGGTGCTGCAGAGAGTAACACTAATAATAAAAACAAAAACAACAGAACAACGTCATTGTAAAAAGAATACTTTACCACGTGATTCTTTAACAAATCAAATTTACAAGAATCTACTAGTATGATTAGTAAAGTTGATCAATAAATGAAACTGAGTAGAAAGAGAGCTGGACCTACCTGTTCTAAACAGCAAATACTTTGGACTACTACAGAAGTAAAAAGGTTTAATAAGTAAGTATAGTACTGTCTCTTAATAAGTAAGTATAGTACAGTCTCTTAATAAGTAAGTATAGTACAGTCTCTTAATAAGTAAGTATAGTACAGTCTCTTAATAAGAAAGTATAGTACAGTCTCTTAATAAGTAAGTATAGTACACCCTCTTAATAAGTAAGTATAGTACAGTCTCTTAATAAGTAAGTATAGTACAAGTCTTTTTATGGCATTAAAA